GAATGAACCACTTTATGTTCTCTTAAATAAAAACCACGAGAAAACCTTTTATGACAAACATCACATTCATGGGGATTATCTCCTGAATGAACCATTTTATGTTCTCTTAAAGTAGAACTTCTAGAAAACCTTTTATGACAAACATCACATTCATGTGGCCTTTCTCCTGAATGAATCTTTTTATGGTCACCTAAGTTAGAACTTCGAGTAAACCTTTTATGACAAACATCACATTCATATGGCTTATCTCCAGAATGAACATTTTTATGCTCTTTTAAAACATAATTTCTAGAAAACCTTTTATGACATACATCACATTCATGGGGTTTATCTCCTGAATGACAAATATTACATTCATATTCAGAATGAACAATTTTATGACGCAATAGACCATTCTTATCTGCAAAGACTTTATGACAAACATCACAATCATATGACTTTTTATTTTGATTTAAGTTAGAACTTTGAGAAAACCTTTTATATGGCTTATCTTCGGAATGAACATTTTTATGCATATTACTTTCAGAACTTTGAGAAAATGTTTGATGATAATAAACAATTTCATTTCCATTGTCCCTAGACAATTGTAGATTTTCTTCAAGTCCATTTTCTTGTTTATCCTCAAAAAATAAAAATTCTGTTGTGAAATCTTGTTTTAAATTTTGAGTAGTTGATAATTCTGGTTTTAAGCTTTCAGATGTTGAAAATTCTGCTGATGCAGCAGGTTTCTTATTAATATTTTCAATTGAAAATGTATTATCAGGTTTAACATCTTGATAAGTTTTAAATGACATGTTAGGTTTTATATCCTGAACATTAAAAAATGATAATTCTGGTTTTATTTTTATGTCATTAGAAGAAGAAAATTCTGAATTAATATCAGGTTTAACATCTTGAGAAGTTTTAAATGACATGTTAGGTTTTATATCCTGGAAATTAATAAATGTCAATAATTCTGTTTTGATGCCAGCAGAAGATGAAAATATGGCCGATAGATCTGGTTTCAAATCTTCAGAAGATGAAAACTCTGTCAATTCATTTGACTGTATATCTACAGTAGATGAAACTGCAGCTAACACATCTGTTTCCACCTCCATGCTAGACAGCTTCTTAGATATGAACTGATGATTAAAAAATGTAAATGTTAAACTGGTGATTAAATAATCAAAACAACTCATTACTAATAACATGGCAAAATTTGTAACACATGCCAGACTTTTATCAGTCTGATTACTAATGATTACTCAGTCAGATGAAATTTTAAAATAGACAACCAGTAATGCAAAGCAATCATGACTGCAGATTAATATCTTAAGCTACCAGTTTCTTAAAATTATTGTAAAAAATAGAAATACTAAGATATTAATAACAAAAATCAAAACTTGATATGCTTTTGTTAGTTTTAAATGTAAGTAATAAGTGCTTAATCTTATCCAAATATGTAATAAAAGTGTTAAAATTAATTTTAATTACAGTTCTAAACTGTCATAAACAGCTTAAGAAACACTTGATTTCTTTAGGCAGCTTGGCACCAATTTGCACTTTAGTAGTTTTGTGACAATATTTGTACACAATAGGACTTGTAATTTCTTGCAACAATTGTAAAAACTTTCAATGCTATTTCATTCGTATGGCTGGGAACTAATATATGTGCATGCATAAAAGTTTTGTGTATATGGATTTATTAATTTGTTTACAGGTAGTGCAAGGAAGGCTAGGGGATGATACTGTTACTCTACTAAACTGGTTTAGCTATTTTAAACTACGGAATGAACACAACACCAATGGTGTCCTCTTCCAGTTTAAGAATATAAAGAAATGAACTTTTTCATTCAAATTTGACTTAGATCTAGATTTTATAAATTTACTTAGCAAGAACCTACACTATGGAATGTATACAATTTTCTCTGTCAAACTAATGGAGAGGTTGCACACACATGACTAAAACCACATGATGTTTACATCCGCCATGATGATGCCCTAGCCTAGCACTGGTCTTCCCTATGTATTTTATATTGCTAGTCCCTAAGTTTATTTTAAAAACTAGCCACCCACAGAACAGTAACAATATTAAATATTTGAAGGAACTTAAATTATTCAGGAACCTATTTTTTTTTTATTTTTGTCCAGCTGATAGACAATATGAATATAATAAATAACTGCCAAAATGTAAACATCTATCGGAATCTATCCAAACAAAAGTGAAAGCCACAACTCCAGAGAGTCAGCCTCAAGAATACCCAAGATTCTAGAAAGTTCGACCTCACAACAATTGTTGTGGTCTTGGATGCACACTATTGAGTATGAATAAAATACTTAAAAAAAACTTTTTAAAAACCACGTTTTTCTTGTGGACTAAAAAGTAGAAAATAAATTTTTCTTTTGTGCTTCCTCGAGCTGTGCAGGTTCCTGTGATGACTGACAAAAAACGTGGGTACGTTCACCATCAAATTTCCCGACCCATCTGCCCGACCCACGTGGTTTTTTAAAAAGTTTTTTTTAAGTATTTTATTTTCTCCTTTTTAGTCCGTTGCTACACATGAAAAACGTGGTTTTTAAAAAGTTTTTTATATAGTTTATTTTCTACTTTATCTAATGACTTGATTAAATATGACTTGACTAAGTGTTTATAAATACACAGACTAAAAATCTTGAGCGACCGATACGCTTTAAACAGAGAAAGGGCGTAATTTAATTAAGCCTACATGCCGTGACCAGGATTCGAACCTGAGTTGTCGCGGCCACAACGCGAAGTACTAACCACTATACGATCACGGCCAGCGCGCTCACATCGATTGGGGCCGAAGTAACTGTGTCAATAGGCCTCCAGTCTTGTCGGTATGTTTAGAAATCATGTCCTCGATTTTATGGTCCTTGGGGCGTAATTTAATTAAGCTAATTTAGGTCTCTAATTGCTAGTTTTTATGATTGCATCTGAAATTGTTAGGCGAAAATAGCCTGCATGCCAAATTTCAGATCTCTAGAGCAATCAGAAGTGGGCTAATTGTCGATGTCAATTTTAACAACAAACATCCAAACGAACAAACAAATAAACGCGAAGCTGAGTTAAGAAAAACGTGTTAAAAAGTCTATTAGTCATTCATGTCAACTATATTGAAAAAAAAAGAAAAATTAATATACACGCATATATTAAAACAATACAAAATAACCATATTAAACAACAAAATCAACACAACAGACATGCGAATAGACAATTTTTCAAGGGAAACTACTCTATTATTGTTTTTGAAACATGGCCACTGCTTGTATTTACTCATTGTTGTCTCGAACGGGGTAGTTTAAAGTTTATTCCAGGATATTTTTGGATGGTTTGGTCATAGATTGTGATTTGTTATTCAATTATCTGTTATATTATGTAAAATATGTCATAAATATGGCCAAATGAAAGAAATATTCACTAGTTACCTCCATCGCACATTGCTAGCTAGTAGCTACTTTGGAAATTATGATGCCAAACTAAGGTTATACCGAGAAGAGTTATAATGACTATTATTATTATTGATTAATATTATTATTATGAGATCTCATCCAACTTTCTCAGCCATTGGCATAATTTTACCCCACTAAGTCAGTACTACTACTACTACATTAACTAGTAACTGCACTACTTATACTACACTGAGTCACACTCCATTGATAATCCGGTTTTTAAAAACTTAAATGTAAGCTCGAAAAATGTTTTTTATTACTCTGGGGAAGTGTTTTATTATTACTCAATCAGTCCGTCAAAGCCCATCCAACCTCTTCATCTTTTCCAGAATCGGCGTTTAGATTATTATAAAATGGCGTCCTATGAGATTTTTTAATATGATCGTCTGTACGGGCAATGGTTTGTTTCGACCGTTAATTTATTATACAATTCTATTTTTGTATCATAGTGAAGATGTTATAATATTATGTACAAATAAAAAAGTCAATTATACACGCACCTGCTTTAGTTTATTTTGACTTCAAAGTTCAAGCACAAGAGTGACTTTCCCTCGTCGGCTTCGTGAAAGACAAAGAAAGAAATCAGGTAAAGCTAGCATTATTAAAATGTTAATTATTCGCCCCGTAAATACACGGGTAGTTTCGATACAAATCTATCCGATTACGATACGTTCCTAATTTATAAGTATCATGTACTTCATGAGAAAGAAATGAATCGATATTTTATATGTCCGCCCAAAACACGGTGGCCACGAACGAGACTTCACGAAGCGAAAACCCTAATAGATCTAGAAATCTATAAAGTAATAAAGTTAAATAAAGTATAGATTAAAGATTAGATCTAGATACGACGTAGATCTAGGAACCTTTTTTTTACATTTACTATACTATAGGCCTGCTATTTAGTCATTTACTATTTATTTAACAAACTTACTAAATAATACTAGATCTACATGACACATGAAGTATTTTGTTAGATTATTATTTATTAGGCTACGTGTTATTAGTTTGTATTATACTTTTGGGTAATTATTACTAGACTCTAATACTTGAAAGCGTCCTTGGTTGCTAACCAGAACATGGCGTAAGGATTGGACCATGACTTCCGGCGAGTTTTTCGACTTAGTTCCAGAGACCTTCTTAGAATTACTTTTAAAAATGTTTATCACGAGTAAAATGGCGGGTTTTCACGTTATAAAAACATGCTATAGGTGGCAAGGCTAAATATGCCAGAAAAGCATTTTCAAAAATTGCTTTGGGGAATGTAGGCTAAATTTAAAGTCGGTGTCATTCAAAATAATATAACTTTTTAAATATAGATCTCCATATCACAAAATTGATTTCCATAGTAAAGCATTATTAGTTTTATCATTCTATGAAAAAATAAATCAAATATCTTCAACCGTTTTTTTTATAAGATCGACCGAGAAATGACAACCAAATTTTTTTTATTTTTTTTGACCACGTGACCGCTATTTGATGATCACTAGTGGGGAACTCCGGGTACATGGACACTTAAAAAGTCTAACCGCATTTGTGGTTTTCTTTAGCTTCAAGTGCCTTCAGGGGTAAGAAGAGTTGTCATGGAGAGATGTGTTGTCCATGGCAGTGAGTGTCAATAAATATTAAATTAAGTAATTTAGTTTAAAACGAACTAAAAACTACAAAATTATTCCCTAATGGATTAAATATCGATGTCTATCATTCAGTACTAGTAGTCATGTTTAATTTGAAATTTGGGTAAATTCTAGATTCAGTAAGAAAAGCTATGTAATACTAATAGTCTTAAGTCTTATACATTTGTAGTAAATTTATAAGTAATCTATCATCATTTTATATGTGACTCAATAAATTTTAGTAATTATTAGGAGGATTTATGTTAGTTCACATCCAGTGACTGATTAAAACACCCAGTTCTCCTTGGTATTTTTAATATAGTATAGAAAAAAAAATAGATGCGCTAGTATTGGTAACTATTAATTTTAATAATTTATAGATCTAGGCCTAAATCAAAATAGTAAAAATTCTAGATGATCTAGCCTAAAAAATGTTTATCACAAATGTGCCAAATACATAATTGAATTATAGAGTGATAGTAAGTAATATATTGTATTGAAAGAACAGTGTAAATTGTTAACATAAAATATTTAATTTGTCATGAGCTGTTATAAAAATCTTAGACATCATGACTTATTTATATATATATAATTCTCTTCTTGTAGACCCTAGAAAACACCAAGCTGTAAGCCTGCCTAGCAACTTCCTCTCTAGGCATATCGCTACCACCTCCATCCCCACATGGTCTGGTGAGCTGTGGTTCACGTTAAATGTTTACAATCATAGAGCCGGGTTTAGTGACTGCTAGAGGGCTGGTACCAGCCATATTAGGGGCAGATAAAACGTTTGAAACGAATTTAAACTTAGGGGAGGTAACTAAAAGGAGGCTGCTTTCACTGGGGGGGGGGGGGGGGAGAAAGAAGGGTTTTAGTGTTTTAAAGCAAATATTTTTAGTGGCAGCATTGGTACTGTCGAATTCACAAAGGATGAATTACTGAAAATTAGAAAATAAAACAATATATTGCGGTGTATAATACGCCATGAGTCTGCTTGTATTAAATAATCAATTAGTAATTTAACTATTTAGCATAATTTTAAATGTACAGTTGATATTTAATAGACTATTTAAATTAATTAATTTATTTTTTGAATAACAACCATATAGCGAAACAACATAATTGTGCCCAACCATTACTTACATTTAACATAAGGCAATTATTTATTATTATAATATAAATAACCAACTGTACATCAAGCCTCTAAGCTGAAAGTAACTACTAAAAATCTAGATTAGTGATGGAGCCTAACTATTTTAAAATTTAGACTGTCTAGCTCTAAAGAAGATCTTTTTGTTTAAATGTCACTATTTGTGTTTCTCGGCCGGGCAGAAATAAATATTTCTTATTTAATTTATTAGAAGAACCTTAGTTGTCATTAACATTTTCTATCATTACTATTATAACAAAATTTTAAATTACATTTTTAATTTAAAATAATTAAATATTATTAAATATTTCTCTTTCAGCTCTAACTGTTTGATCAAGTGGATACCTCTGATTAATTTAATAACTCTAGCATTAAAGAACATAGAAAATGAGAGAGCAAGTAGGTCACTGTGACATCTGTTCAAGAACATTTTCATCTTTTGAAAGATTACAAAAACATTGGAACAAAACGCACACAGAAGTGCAAGCCATAAACTTGTTTTTGTGATTTTATAGTTGCAGAGGAGCCGTTGTTTGCTAAACATAAAAAGGAATTTCATCCAAATGATCGAATGGCGTGTGAGTTTTGTGCTTTTACCACCAGGAAATGGAGTAAGCTGAAAAAACATCACACGATAGTTCATATGGCTTTGTATAAAGAAAACATTGCTACTGGTTTAAAAAAGGACAATTTCAGAGAGGAAACCATGACATCTTCATGTACCCATCAGATCACAAACTTCACCAAATTGTGGAAACTTTAATGTCCAATGCTCAATATTGAAGGAGAAAATTTTTTTATCATCAACTAATGAAATGACAGCTGAACTTTACCACAATAAATTCAAATCATGTGACAAATTACAGTTACATCATGAAAATTAAACAGCTGCACCTCAAAAGTTACAGACTTTAACTGGGCAAAAATGTGAATGTGCTCTGGAGAATTGTACAACTTGTCAACTATACCATAAAGATAAACAGAGAGGCAGTGATCCTCCAACTGAGATTTCTGTGTGTGACATTTGCCAAAAAAGTTTTAAATCCTTATCTCATTTGGCTTCTCATAAAATTGTACACACTCGAATGAAATGTTGTTACATATGTTGCCACTGTGATAAAAGTTTTAACATTGGAGAAGAATATGATCTACACTTAGCAACACATTTTAGGTATAAGCCATTTAAGTGTGAAATTTGTGAAAAATGTTATGCAGATAAACAATACCTAAAAGCTCACATTAGATTGCATAATGGAGAATCAATTCACAAATGTGAGAAATGCAATTACACGTCACCTTATCTGTGTCGGCTAAAACAACATCAAAAGATTCATCTAAACCTTCAATCAGTTGATGGTGTTAAAAATGTACAAACTTGTGATATTTGCCAAAAAAGCTTTGTTTCTATAGCTCACCTTTTGTCCCATCAACTGATGCATACACCTTTGCAGCTTTACATATGTAGTCATTGTGACAGAGGCTTTAACTTACCAGATGAATATGACCTTCACCTTGTAAAGAGACATTTCAGGTACAGACCTTTCAGATGTTCATTGTGTGAGAAATCTTTTAGCACGAAAAGTAAATTAAAAGTTCACACAAGCATACACACCAGGGATTTACTGTATAAGTGTTCAAATTGTGAATACACAACAAATGATAGAGGTTCTTCATTAGAACATAGGAGAGTTCACATGAACAGTAAGCCTTTCACATGCAATTCTTGTGACTATTCGGCTGCTTCTAGAGGTACTCTACAAAAACATTTGAGGACTCACTCTGGTGAGAAGCCATTTTGTTGCAACCTATGTGACAAACGATTCAGTCAACATGTAACTTTAATCTCACATAAACGGCATATTCATCTAGTTTAATCATACTACTGAAGACACACTACGAACAGTGTTATGATGTGTAGTTAATCAAGGTATGTTGGTGTGAAAGATATAATGATGACATAATGAGGAAAGATAGTGATGTTTTGTGTAGAAACTGGTTGCTGTGTATTGTGTGAGTTAACCTTAGTCTTGGTGAAAGGGTGTATATGACCAGTGTGACTCAGTCAGTAGAGTGAATCGTGAGACGTCCATGTGGATGACGATTATAAGCAGAATGTGTTTAATAAATATCAGAAGAAAAACCTTTTTTCATCTTGTCAATAAATTGTCACCTGTGTCGTCTAGACGTGTAAGGGTATAATGACTGCCTATGTTGTCTGATATTCTCACATGGTAATGAACCAAGTAGTTCAACCCTCTCACAATCGAAAAATATATTATAAAACTGATGTGACTGAAGAAATGTAAATTTATGCTGCAATTAAAAAAAAATTTTTTTTATTGACATTGGTGTAAAAACACTGGTGTTTTTTTGCATGCCTCCAATTCTGTTTATACCCAATCACAGTTAGATGAGGGGGGGGGGTTTGTAAAATGTTTAATCTGCTCAAGTTACAGCTATTTCCAACAGTGGGCTTGTGTCTCTTTCAATACCATCATACTGCAAAGTTTTTTTTTAACTTTTAAAAGTTTTTTATATCTGCTTGTCATATATCAAAAAGTGTATTGTGTTGTTTATTGGAAGTCTGTGTTACCTTCTTTCTATTTGAAGCTTATCTGAAGTTTTGGTAGCTGTATTTTCTTATATAACTAGTAATTTGATTTATGTTGACACATTTACTAGTAATAGTTAATCTGTTTAGGCTTTTATGTTCTTGTCTTTAACATATTATAAAGCTTTTCTATTGCTTATGATACACATTGAAATTTATTGGACACATAAGAAAATAAACTTGTTAATTAACAGTTCTTCTGAAATATCTGCAGCTATGTAACACCTCGTCAATCTCTGTTGAGGCTACATCATAGGATTAATTTAAACCCATAACGAGACAAATGGTGTTGAAAAATTACACACTTGATTCTTTATGTCATCTTATCAACTTTAAATGTAATTATCAAACCAATACAGCATTTTGATAGTAGTGACAGTTTAATTTTGGATGATGACTGTTACACTTGCTTTTCTTTTAAACTTTTAATATTATTTAAGTTATTTATTTAAGTTCCTGTAAATTATCAAACTTTATTCAAATTACCACAAGTTCTATCAATTTTAAAAAGCATTAGTATTTTGCACAATTAAGGTCTTAATGTTTTGTACTGGGCTTTGTGCATCAGTAGAAGTGATGTCACAATTAGCAGTCTTTTAACACTATCTTAACCAAATTCTCCTCTTTATTTCTAAAGAGCTAATTATTACACAAATATTTTTTTTAATTTTCTGTTATTTTTTAAAATTTACATTAATTTGGTTTTAAATTGTCAATTAAATAGTTAAATTCTGTCTAATCTGAAATATATGCCTATTTCTGTTTTTTTTAATTAACCTGTTGGATTCTTTAAATTTGTTAATTATGTTTATAAATTTTGACATAAATTTTTTCTCAGCTGTAAAACATTGTTGAGATTCATTTCTAATTGCGTTTGTGTTGAGGTTGTATTTTTCATATTGTATGTGGCCAGCTATTAACTCTTTTGTTAAATAAACTAATAGTATTTACATAATTAAGTCTCGAACTTGAATGCAGGTTAAATTAATGTATGTGGCATGTGGTTAAATAAACTAACAGTATTTACTAAAATAAGTCTCGAGTTTGAATGCGGCGTAAAGTCAGTAGAACGTTCCAGAGTTCACCCAGCTCTGATGTGAACCTGACTCACATTATGGAAAGCAAAGACGGCTGGGCATAGTGCTGACCACACTATCCCTTTAGGTGCTTTAGGTATTAAACATCACATTCATGTGGTTAATCTCCTAAATGAACCTTTTTATGTATCCACAAATTTTTTATGACAAACATCACATTCATGTGACCTTTCTAATGAAAAATGAACTCAAATTCATGTTCTTGGACACGAAAAGATGATGATGATTTACATAAAGACTAAGAACAAATGACCATATTTCATTTGATGAGACTAAACCTATGTAATTGACCATATTATCTATCTACCCTTCCCTAGGTCAGTGCAACCGTGGTGAAACCCACGGTGGTTAAATCTTATCCTTAACCTTAGTCTAAATAAAAACACTAAAAGTAAAAAAATAAAAACTTTAACAACTTACAGAATTTATTGCATGAAATAAAATGGAACAAAAAAAAATATAAATTAAGTCAAATTCAAAACATCCTAATGCAACACTAAACAATCACCAATGCCAAACAAACAAAACACAACGTTCAATGGAATATTATGTACCTTCGGTACCTCGGAGTCTAGGCTCTGAACACACAGACAACCATCCTTACCAGTGCTGCCACCGAAACGCCATCTAATATCCGCACCAAACATAAAACAATACATACAAATCAAGCCAAGTTGCACAAACAACCTCACTGGAATGGGAGAGAAAAAAGAAAAGGAAAACAAAGGAAAATGCATGGAAAAATATATATACATCAATATATACATATGTTTAAATACTACTGACTACTACTAAAGACATCTAAAGCCTCGAGTAAAATACTAACCCCTACTACTACCACTAATCCTAGAATACTAAATCAATTCTCAAAACCACAATAAATCACTGTCTAACCAAGAAATAAGCCAATTAAAAATAACGGCAATAAAAATCATCATTGTAGAACTAATTTATCCTACACAATGAGCAGCACGAAGCCATTGGTCTACCTATATAACATCCACATTGATAACAATAAAGTTAACACACCCCGCTAAGGCCCCAAATAGAGGTAGACACAAAGCAAGTGACTCAACATGACATTGTAAGAAACATCACACACATTAATTTTACAGCAACCTAAAACTCGAGACAAACTAAAATACACTCATTACTGTCTAAGACAACCACAACAAAATTACTTGTGACTGAGCCCAACTTAGTCATCGTGGGGAACTCACAATAACAATACTTTAAAATAATTAAGTAAAATACACAAACACACTCAAACCAGTTTGGGAAACCATCCTAAACATAGCGACCTAAACCACGTGGTCTAAAACACGCCAAGGGTTTTAGAAAATACCAAAATACAATTCAAATCTTTCAAAAAAGAACACACCACGAGTATACCAGACAAGCCGATGCCCACTATCTCTTTTCAGACGAAAAAGAAAGAAAACGAGAATTATCGGCAGTCGCTTTCATACCAATCACACATATACAAATACAATAAAAAACACAAATACCTTCACGCACGAGGTGAGCCCACACAGAAACTGACCTGATCTACATCTCGCCTCGGGTCAAAAGAAAGAAATTATCCGAGCGGTAAGTTTTTATACTGACCGCTTCGTGCGGAACGGGAAACCCTGTAGCCGCTGTCAAGTGGACCATTCACGCAGATTCGCACACAATAAAATAATACTACAAAATAAGACATCCATTTACCCGCTCACACTAACATTAGTAACAAACAAATGTTGTCGGACATGACCTTACCTAACTTGCAAGTACAGGCTTTGGAGCATCACAAGAGAGTAAAATACACCCCAGCATTCAAAACACATTGGTCTCATTGGAATTTACATACAGAAACTGTTGTTAGAAAAACAATAATAATAAAATTTGCCACACACTTTAGCCATTTTATTTTATAAAATTTTCACGTTGCAATTTGTAATAATTCACTACTTTAGAATTTAGATTACAAGGCTATTTTTGTAATAGTAAGGAATAAAAAATTAAATAATAACTAGCCAAAAATTACATTACGTTGAAACTAAGATACCAATATGTAACAACTGCAGCTCTAGTATTTCTTTTCTTCAAATTTATAATTTTTATGCTGTTTTTGGAAAAAAAGTTAATGTTAATTTATGACTTTGAAATGTGTGGTTAATCTTTAAATTGTAAAGTCTTATGTGAAGAAATTTATTTTATTATCTTTTCAATCACATAGTATGCAGAGAGGAGTCTGAGATTTGGCATAAAGTTTATATTGACTTGAGGTGTAAAGAAAGATAAAATCTATATATAACATGTTACAAATGCATTTAATTTAATAAAATAAAACATTTAGCAAAATTGGTTTTAAGTCATGATGAATTTTTTTTGACTATATGAAGTAAATTTAAAAGAAAATATTTCCTTACAAACATCACATTCCTCTGTCTTATAGAATGAATTTTTATAGAGTATTTAAATTTAAAAAAAAAAATAAAGATATATTTTACTAAGTTACTCATAATACTTTCCAAATTTACCTAAACAGATAAATAATGGTACTTATTGTGTTAGGTCCCAAATATGGGTTAGGATTATAATGCAATTACATAATGTGATCATTGATTTCAATACCAAGCATCCAACAAAAGTTTTGGAAGTTTATCTCTTTCTTATGAGTTTCATATATAAATAAATACATTTTTATGTGTTTTAGTAGTATGTGAAAATTACCAATATGTGTTGAAATACATATATTAGTGATATGTTTAATAAATCTTTAGTTTGTTCTGCCCTAGAGCTTGTTTGTCTTTGTTTATACTAAAATTTGTTAGTTTGTTGCCATTTGGCAACTACTGAAATTTTTACCCTTATACGCACCATGTTGCCGCATAGCAACATACCTACAAAAGCAATATCCCATAATTTTTTTTACAAATTATCCATATAAAAAGGGCAAAATGTATACAGAAAAATGATAATTCCACTTAAATAATAATTAGAGTGAGTTAAATAGTCTTTTAAGAGGAAAGTTGACCAATCCCGACAAGGGCGCAGAGGGGGTGGGGAGGGGGCGGGGTGACACAATGACGTAACCTGCTAATGATAGAGAAAACACGCTACATCCAGCTGAATTTATCACCGACTATAGATAAAAATCGCTAGAGTTATCTGAGAGTGCACTTCTTGTGCAGTTGGGCTATAGAAGTTTATGGCAAAACCTTTCTTTTTGAGATAATGACTCACGACTGCAAAATATCCATAAGTCAATCATTTTTTATAAATTTTAATTTACTTGTAATTGAAAAAATAGTAACACAAGTGCTAAAAATGTCAAATGTTTCTTTTGTAACTGGAGTCCTAACAAGCAAAAGTTATCTGACACTGACCTTACCTAACTTGCAGGTAAAGTCTTTGGAGCATCAATAATATATTGAAAACTGGCTCAGAAATGCTCAATAGCCTTTGATTCTATCGGTCACACTATACTTCTAGAAAACTAATTCCATACACATTTAGCTACCTTAAACTAACTCTATAAGCTATTATAATTGTAATAATTTGGATTGTGCACTTTTTGTGCAGTTGGGCTATAAAAGTTTATGGCAAAACCATTTTTTGAGAAAATGACTCACTACTGCAGAACATCCATAAGTCAATAATTTTTATAAATTTTATTTTACTTTTAATTGATAAAAAAATAGTAAAACAAGTGTTCAAAATGTCAAATGTTTCTTTTCTAACTGGAGTCCTAACAAGCAAAAGTTGTCTGACACTGACCTTCATCTACCTGGCAGGTACAGGCTTTGGAGCATCACAAGTGAGTAAAATACACCCCAGCATTCAAAACACATTGGCCTCATTGGAATTTATGTTAACCTACATAAAGTGTTGTTAAAAAAATAATAATAAAAATTGACACACTTTAACCATTTTATTTCTTAACATTTTTATTACAATTTCAAATGATTCACTACTTTAGAATTTACATTACAAAGCTTTTTTTAATAAGGAATATTAAATTAAAACACAATGAAAATTCACATGTTAAAACTAAGATACCAAAATGTAACAATTGCAGCTATAGTCTTTCTTTTCTTCAAATTTATAATTGTTATGCTGTTTTAAAAAATGAAATGTTAATTTATGACATTGAAATGTGTTGTTAATCTTTAAATAGATTGTATAGCCTATATGAATAAGTGAAGAAAATTATTTTATACTCTTTTCAATCACATAGCATGCAGAGAGGAGTCTGAGATTTGGCATAAAGTTCATATTGAGAAGGTGTGGAGAAAGATTAAATCTATATTTAAAAAACCCATTCATCTAGCAAAAATAAGGAAGTGACCATAAGCCTTAGCAATGGTTGGAGCAACATGAAACTTGGGGTTAGTTCCATAAGACATGTAAATAGTGGGGAGGGAGAGGGAAGTTTTAACATATGGTCTGTTTGAGTTATACATTGCATCCAGTAGAGTTTGATCGTATGATTTGTGATTCTATACCTCTAAATATAATGATTAAGGTCATTTAGTAAAAGATGAAAAAGTGTTTACAAAAAAAAAGATTGTCTGCTCAGAAGTTTTGATCTCACTGTGACTGCTGGCCTGATGTCATTTTACTTGTCTAATGGAGGTCAATTTTATATAATTTGAAACAGGCAAATTAACTTGCGGCCTGAACAAAACCATGCGGGTATAAAAATAAAACCCTGGAATGAAGCTTTTTATGTGTTGTTAAATGATCACTCCGAGAAAACTTTTTATGACAAACATCACATTCATGTGGTTTATCTCCTGAATGAATCTTTTTATGTCTTCTTAAATGAGAACTTTGAGAAAACCTTTTATGACAAACATCACATTCATGTGGCCTTTCTCCTGAATGAATTTTTTTATGCGTTTTTAAATTACATTTTAGAGAAAACCTTTTATGACAAACATCACATTCATGAGGCGTTTCTCCTGAATGATTTTTTTTATGTGTTCTTAAAATACATTTTAGAGAAAACCTTTTATGACAAACATCACATTCATGTGGTTTATCTCCTGAATGAATTATTTTATGTGTTTTTAAAATACATTTTAGAGAAAACCTTTTATGACAAACATCACATTCATGTGGCCTTTCTCCTGAATGAATTTTTTTATGCGTTTTTAAATTACATTTTAGAGAAAACCTTTTATGACAAACATCACATTCATGAGGCGTTTCTCCTGAATGATTTTTTTTATGTGTTTTTAAATTACATTTTAGAGAAAACCTTTTATGACAAACATCACATTCATGAGGCGTTTCTCCTGAATGATTTTTTTTATGTGTTCTTAAAATACATTTTAGAGAAAACCTTTTATGACAAACATCACATTCATGTGGTTTATCTCCTGAATGAATTTTTTTATGTGTTTTTAAAATACATTTTAGAGAAAACCTTTTATGACAAACATCACATTCATGTGGTTTATCTCCAGAATGAATATTTTTATGTCTTCTTAAATCAGAACTTTGAGAAAACCTTTTATGACAAACATCACATTCGTGTGGTTGATCTCCTGAATGAAGCTTTTTATGTATTCTTAAATGAGAACTTTGAGAAAACCTTTTATGACAAACATCACATTCATGTGGTTTATCTCCAGAATGAATTTTTTTATGTCTTCTTAAAACAGAACTTAGAGAAAACCTTTTATGACAAACATCACATTCATATGGCCTTACTCCTGAATGAATCTGTTTATGTTGATTTAGGTTAGAACTTCGAGTAAACCTTTTATGACAAACATCACATTCATAATCATATGGCTTATATCCAGAATGAACATTTTTATGCATTTTTAAACCATAATTTCTAGAAAACCTTTTATGACAAACATCACATTCATGTGGTTTATCTCCTGAATGAACTTTTTTGTGTTCTCTTAAATCATAACTATAATAAAATCTTTTCAGACAAACATCACATTCATATGGCTTATCTCCAGAATTATATGCATTTTCTCCTGAATGCTTCTTTTTATGTGTACTTAAGTTAGACCTTTGAGAAAACTTGTGATGACAAACATCACATTCATATGGCTTATCTCCTGTATGAACATTTTTGTGACGTAATAGATGTGTCTTCTGACCAAACTTTTTATGACAAACATCACATTCATATGGCTTATCTCCAGAATGAACATTTTTATGTATTTTTAATTCACAATTTCTAGAAAACCTTTTATGACAAACATCACATTCATGTGGTTTATCTCCTGAATGAATCCTTTTATGTGCTCTTAACTGAGAACTAGAAAATCTTTTATGACAAACATCACATTCATGTGGCCTTTCTCCTGAATGAACCATTTTATGTTCTCTTAAAGGAGAACTTTGAGAAAACCTTTTATAACAAACATCACATTCATGTGGCCTTTCTCCTGAATGAACATTTTTATGTTCTCTTAAATGAAAACTTTGAGAAAACCTTTTAAGACAGACCTCACACTTATATGGCTTATCTTCAGAATGAACATTTTTATGCATATTACTTTCAGAACTTTGAGAAAATGTTTGATTATAATAAACAATTTTATTTCCGTTGTCCCTAGACAATTGTAGATTTTCTTCAAGTCCATTTTCTTGTTTATCCTCAAAAAATAAAAATTCTGTTGTGAAATCTTGTTTTAAATTTTCAGAAGTTAATAATTCTGGTTTTAAACTTTCAGATGCTGAAAATTCTGCTGACGCAGCAGGTTTCTTATTAATTTTTTCAATTGAAAATGTATTATCAGGTTTAACATCTTGATAAGTTTTAAATGACATGTTAGGTTTTATATCCTGAACATTAAAAAATGATAATTCTGGTTTTATGTCATTAGAAGAAGAAAATTCTGAATTAACATCAGGTTTAACATCTTGAGAAGTTTTAAATGACATGTTAGGTTTTATATCCTGGAAATTAATAAATGTCAATAATTCTGTTTTGATGCCAGCAGAAGATGAAAATATGGTCGATAGATCTGGTTTCAAATCTTCAGAAGATGAAACCTCTGTCAATTCATTTGACTGTATATCTACAGTAGATGAAACTGCTGCTAACACATCTGTTTTCACCTCCATGCTGGACATCTTCTTAGATATGAACTGATGATTTAAAAAAATGTAAATGTTAAACTGGTGATTAAATAATCAAAACAACTTAATACTAATAACATGGCAAAATTTGTAACACATGCCAGACTTTTGTCAGTCTGATTACTAATGATTACTCAGTCAGATGTAATTTTAAAATAGACAACCAGTTATGCAAAGTAATCAGGACTTCAGATTAATATCTGAAGCTACCAGTTTCTTAAAATTCTTTTTAAAAATAGAAATACTAAGATATTAATAACAAAAATCAAAACTTGATTTGCTTTTGTTAGTTTTTAAATGTAAGTAATAAGTGCTTAATCTTATCCAATTATGTAATAAAAGTGTTAAGATTAATTTTAATTACAGTTATAAACTGTCATAAACAGCTTAATAAACACTTGATTTCTTCAGGCAGCTTGGCACTAATTTGCACTTTTTGTAGTTTTGTGACAATATTTGCACACAATAGGACTTGTAATTTCTTGCAACAATTGTAAAAACTTTCAATGCTATTTTATTCGTATGGCTGGGAACTAATATATGTGCATGCATAAAAGTTTTGTGTATATGAATTTATTAATTTGTTTACAGGTAGTGCAAGGAAGGCTAGGGGATGACTCTGTTACTCTACTAAACTGGCTTAGCTATTTTAAACTATGGAATGAACACAACACCAATGGTGTCCTCTTCCAGTTTTAGAATATAAAGAAATGAACTTTTTCATTCAAATTTGACTTAGATCTAGATTTTATAAATTTACTTATCAAGACCTACACTATGAAATGTATACAATTTTCTTGGTCAAACTAAGGGAGAGGTTGCACACACATGACTAAAACCACATGATGTTTACATCCGCCATGATGATGCCCTATCCCAGCACTGGTCTTCTCTATGTATTTTATATTGCTAGTCCCTAAGTTTATTTTAAAAACTAGCCACCCACAGAACAGCAACAATATTTGAAGAAACTTAAATTATTCAGGAACCTATTTTTTTTATTTTTGTCCAGCTGATGGACAATATGAATATAATAAATAACTGCCAAAATGTGAACAACTATCGGAATCTATCCAATCAAAAGTGAAAGCCACAACTCCAGAGAGTCAGCCTCAAGAATACCCAAGATTCTAGAAAGTTCGACCTCACAACAATTGTGGTCTTGGATGCACACTATTAAGTATGAATAGATCTATTAGTCATTCATGTCAACTATATTGAAAAAAAAAGAAAAATTACTATACAGGTATATATTAAAACAAAACAAAATAACCGTATTAAACAACAAAATCAACACAACAGACATGTGAATAGACAATTTTTCAAGGGAAACTACTCTATTATTGTTTTTAAAACATGGCCACTGCTTGTATTTACTCATTGTTGTCTCGAACGGGGTAGTTCAAAGTTTATTCCAGGATATTTTTGGCTGGTTTGGTCATAGATTGTGATTTGTTATATTATGTAAAATATGCCATAAATATGGCCAAATGAAAGAAATATTCATTAGTTACTGCCATCGCACATTACTAGCTAGTAGCTACTTTGGAAATTATGAAGCTAAACTAAGGTTTTACCGAGAAGAGTTATGATGACTATTATTTAGCGATACTCACTAATTTTAAATTTCGTTATTTTTCGATTTAAACATTACCAATGAAAACTAGAGATCAATCTCTAATCAATAAAATACTTAATTTGTTGTTAATTAACTCATTTGGAGCTTAATTACTGTTTTTTATTAATTGGCCACTCCCAGCATTGCAAGCCAAAAATCTGTGACAACCATTTTCCTATCTAAAGAGAAGAACTCTGCAGGGTGGACCTTGCAGCTGATTTGATTTTAACAGAATATGCACAGTACATTTGATTTTATTACCACATTTTTATTAATATGGACACTGTCTTCGTCAGAATAAAAATCACAAGATGGAATTACATCTAGTTCTATATTTTTAAAAAAATTATTTGATTTCCTTTTTTTTAAATGGAAGGATGTTTAAAAAGGAAAACTAAACCCAGATTAATGTATTTGACGACAAATATGCGTCAATTAAATATGTTTAAGAATATAGAATAGATCTAAACTTTTGAAAGATATTCTATCCCATGCATGTTTCATCAACTAGTGTAAGTGCTTTAGCAATGCTTGATCAGGGCAATTTATAAAATTCTAGCAATGTCATTGTAAAATGAATCTAACTCTCCTCTCTCACTGGACTTGGGACAGGTGTGTTATTCACAAAGTTTCGCCGATGCTCAGTTTAAAATATTGTTAAGATTTGTAAGTATTTGATTTAATATTATTAAAATCTGCAATAGCATTAAAATTGATAAAGTTAGAGAGAAATGCATTCTAAACAGCATCACGGGCAGTGTGCGTGGCGGACATCTCGCTCGCGTAGTTTTGTCAACCAGAAAAGTTAGCCTATCAAATACAATAATCCCAAACTGTAGGTCTAGATTAATATAAAGTTCACATTAAATGTATTTAATTAAGATGTGTGTCTATTTGTTTTTTCAAATGTCAGCGCATAAAAATTGATTACCCGAGAGCGAGAATTAGGCCTATGCCTATGCATTCCAAACATCGACACAGACCAAGTGTGACACACGACTCGCTCGCGCTGGTTTGTCAGCGAGAGAGGCATCGCCCGCCACAGCGCGGGCACAGCACACATGTCCTAGTCCATGCGTACTTGGTTTACTAAGTACTAATTAGTAATGTAAACTTAGACCCAACGCTAAACTCATTTAATTTATCTATCAGGCCTCTAAAATCGTAATAATATTAACATTATTAAGCCTAATAAATGTATCAACGAAGACCAGTGAAAATAATATTATAATTAGCCTAATTAAAATTTATGAAAAAAATAAGAATTAAGACAAATTCATTAAGCTATAACAAATTTGAAAACAAATAATTAGGCCTAAGTAAGCACACAAAGACCAACGCTCACTACTAGATCTAGATCTAATTCCAGGGACCAAAAAAAAAAATAACAGATCGTTGTGGTTTAAGGGTTTTTAGAGTCATAGTATAATCCAAAAGCCAGGTGAAATATCCATAATTAGGCTTAATTAGTCTAATTACGCTAGCAAAAAAAGCTGAAAAAGAGTGTCAAGTGAAAAGAAAACACAATTATATAAGCAGCGAGGGGATGTACAGCTTCCGTAACAATAGCGATGACGTCACAATAAAAAATTACATGCTTTCAGTGACCTTTTTAGGAGGCCGATTTCTTAAAATCGGCACATAATAATTGCATTTTTTTTTCACTAAACGATCAATCTAATAATACCATACCTAACAGTGCCATTTAGACACCTTACAATCCTTTATTCAAAGTTTTTAAACAACTCAAACTATACCCATGTTTACGTTTGACCTCCATGGTCGGAAGCAATTAAAAAAAAAAATTCTGCCAAAAATAGCTTTGGCATCTTCAGATAGCTTAAAATACGCCAAAAAACCCGCCATTTTTAGCGTAATAATTATTTTTAAAGTTAATGTTAAGGACTAAGGTGGTCTCTCGAACAAAGCAGAAAAAATTGCCAAGGTGACGTAGCCATGTTCTGGTTAGCAACCAAGGACGCTTTCAAGTTACTGAGACTCGCTAGTGTGTATTATTGATTAATATTATTATTATGAGATCTCATCCAACTTTCTCAGTCATCGGCATAATTTTACCCCACTAAGTCAGTACTGACTCAGTACTACTACTACCACATTAACTACACTACTTACACTACACTGAGTCACACTCCATTGATAATCCGGTTTTTAAATACTTATATGTAAGCTCGAAAAACGTTTTTTTTTTACTCTGGGGAAGTGTTTTATTATTATTACTCAATCAATCAGTCCGTCAAAGCCAATCCCACCTTTCACCTTTTCCGAAATCGGCGTTTAGATTAATATAAAATGGCGTCCAGGAGGTTTTTAATACGGTCGTCTGTAAGGGCAATGGTTTTTTTTCGACTGTTGATTTATTATACAATTCTATTTTTATATCGTAGTGAAGATGTTAGGCTTTAGTATTAAGTACAAATAAAAAAGTCAATAATACACGCACCTGCTTTAGTTTATTTTGACTTCAAGCACAAGAGTGAATTTCCCTCGTCGGCCTCGTGAAAGACAAAGAAAGAAATCAGGTAAAGCTAGCATTATTAAAATGTTAATTATTTGCCCCGTAAATACATGGGCAGTTTCGATACAAATCTATGCGATTACGATACGATCCTTATTTATAATTTATAAGTATCATGTACTTCATGAGAAAGAAATGATTCGATATTTTATGTCCGCCCAAAACACGGTGGCCTGCGAAACCGCGAGAACGAGAATTCACGAATCGAAAAGCCTAGTATAAAGTATAATTAGTATAAAGTAGATCTAGATCTAATAAAGTACAAATGTTTGTAAAAAAAAAAGTTTGATCTTTCTGCATATAATCTGAAATGACCAGAAATGAGTCTCAATCTCTGCTTAACTACTTAACTAAATACTAGATCTAGATTCTAACGACTTCGCTTTATTTATTAGTATTAGTAGGCTACTAACTACTACTAGTACTAGATCTAGATCTAGAATCTAGTTTCTCATTAGACACTAGATAGGCCTGCTATTTAATATTTTAAAAAATATTTATTATATTTATTTACAAACTTACTAGACTACTACTAGAGCTAGATCTAGGCCTACTAAATAATACTACATGACACATGAAGTATTTTGTTAGAATATTTAAGTAGGTAAAACCTCAGTTTAGCGTAGGTTATTATTCCGGAATGGTATAGCAGTAAAAAAAACAATGGCAAAATCTGTCACACAGTTCCGGAAGTACTGTTAACCATACTTTATTAGGCGTCATCTTTTATTTTTAATACAGATCGTTTAAAATTTGGATAGATTTATTTTGATTGCGTGTTAAATACTACTTTATTACTCATTTTGAATAACTAGTTATTTTTAAGTGTTTCAGCTAAATATTTCTGCTACTAAACATTGTTAAAGGGGTCATCCATAAATGACGTCACGCTTTTTTTGACGATTTTTACCTCCCCCCTCCCCTCTGTCACACGTCGTCACAAAAAGCCAGACCCCCCCCCTAAAATGACATCACACTTCAACCTACAACCCCCCCTCAAAATTGCAGTTGAATTTTTTAAAAACATCGATATTTTCCAAAATCTTGTCTAAACTATTACAATTTATTAAAACAGTTATCTAAAACGCGAAATAACGTCTAAAATTCGTTTTCTAACATTGCTTTTTCATAATGCAAAAATGTGACGTCGCAACATCTGACCCCCCCCCTCCCCCTCATCACACATCGTCACAAAATTACGGACCCCCCCTCCCTCCTACGAGTGTGACGTCATTTATGGATGACCCCTTAACAGGATTTGTACGCAGTCTGGAAAAAGTCTTGAATTTAGAAAAGTGAATTTCATCAGACTTAAAATAGTCTGGACGGGTCTACACTGTGGAATGATGTTTTTCGCTGGGTATCTCAGAAGAAACCCGATTTCTCAGTTACTACGTCATTGTGGGAGGGGGGGGGGGGTGTGTAAGACCTGTCTTTTTGTTGTTGTTGTTGTTGCGAGACTGACCGTGAAAATGTTTAGGGCTAGACTAACCCGCCCCTCCTAGTAACTAAGGTCACTGATGATAATCACTTTCAGCTCTAAATGTCTGATCAAGTGAATACATCCTATTAATTTAATAACTCTAGCATTATAGAACAAAAGAAAATGAGAGAGCAAGTAGGTCACTGTGACATCTGTTTAAGAAAATTTTCATCTTTTGAAAGATTACGAAAACATTGGAATTAAAAGCACACAGAAGTGCAAGCCATAAGCTGTTGTTTTTTGTGATTTTATAGATAAAGAGGAGCCGTTGTTTGCTAAATATAAAAAGGAATTTCATCCAAACTATCAGATGGCGTGTGAGTTCTGTGGTTATACCACCAGGAAATGGAGTAAGCTGAAAAAACATCACACAGAAGTTCATATGGCTTTGTATAAAGAAAACATTGCTACTGGTTTAAAAAAGGACAATTTCAGAGAGGAAACGATGACATCTTCATGTAAATACCCATCAGATCACAGATCAACTTCACCAAATTGTGGAAACTTTAATGTCCAATGCTCAATATTGAAGGAGAAAAAAAATTTATCATCAACTAATGAAATGACAGCTGAGCTTTACAACAATAAATTCAAAACATGTGACAAATTGCAGTTACATCATGAAAATAAAACAGCTGCACCTCAAAAGTTACAAAATTTAACTGGGCAAAAATGTGAATGTGCTCTGGAGAATTGTACAACTTGTCAACTATACCATAATGATAAACAGAGAGGCAGTGATCCTCCAACTGAGATTTCTGTGTGTGACATTTGCCAAAAAAGTTTTAAATCCTTATCTCATTTGGCTTCTCATAAAATTGTACACACTCGAATGAAATGTTACATATGTTGCCACTGTGATAAAAGTTTTAACATTGGAGAAGAATATGATCTACACTTAGCAACACATTTTAGGTATAAGCTATTTAAATGTGAAATTTGTGAAAAATGTTATGCAGATAAACAATACCTAAAAGCTCACATTAGGATGCATAATGGAGAATCAATTCACAAATGTGAGAAGTGCCATTACACTTCACCTTATCTGTGTCGGCTAAAACAACATCAAAAGATTCATCTAAACTTTCAATCAGTTGATGGTGTTGAAAATGTACAAGCTTGTGATATTTGCCAAAAAAGCTTTGTTTCTATAGCTCACCTTTTGTCCCATCAACTGATACATACACCTTTGAAGCTTTACATATGTAGTCATTGTGACAGAGGCTTTAACTTACCAGATGAATATGACCTGCACCTTGTAATGAGACATTTCAGGTACAGACCTTTCAGATGTTCATTGTGTGAGAAAACTTTTAGCATGAAATTTTTTTTAATAATTCATATGAACATACACACTAGGGATTTACTGTATAAGTGTTCAAATTGTGACTACACAACAAACGATAAAAGTCCTTTCTTAGAACATAGGAGAGTTTACATAAACAGTAAGCCTTTCACGTGCAATTCTTGTGACTATTCAGCTGCTTCTAGAAGTACTCTACAAAGACACTTGAGGACTCACTCTGGTGAGAAGCCATTTTATTGCAGCCTATGTGACAAACGATTCAGTCAACGTGTACATTTAATCTCACACAAATGGCATATTCATCTAGTTTAATCATACTACTGAAGACACACTACGAACAGTGTTATGATGTGTAGTTAATCAAGGTATGTTAGTGTTGGTGCGAAAGATATAATGATGACATAGTGATGAAAGATAATTGTGGTGATGTAATGTGTATGAAAGGTGAATACGTGGAACTGATCACTGCGTGTGTGTATGTATCATGTAGTGAGATGCGAGGCTGGATGTGTTGACTTGCATGTTGTTGTACGGACTGAACTAGGGTACAAGGGTGACAGTGGCTGTGTTGTGAGCAAGAGAAAGGTGGTGTGTAGGAATGAATGCGCGGGGGGGGGGCAGTTGAAAGTTGGACTGTAAGCAACCAGGTTGATGTGGGACTAAGTGGCACGTTTAAAAAGAAATAAAGGATACTGTGATACCTAGCCTCAATCGTGTTGCTTGTGCATTCTTTGAGATCCTGACACCCTCACAATAATGACGTTTTGTGTAGAAACTGGTTGCTGTGTATTGTGTGTATGAGTTAATTATATTGCTATTTTTTGACATCTTAATATATTTTTCTCTACCTAAATAGGATTTAAATTCAACAAGATATTTCAGTTTTTGTATATGTTCTGTAAATCATAAAAAGTAAATTAATACGGGGATTTTTTTATCATCTTAATGGTCATGATTAGAGTTCTACTTCAATGCAGAAAAAGCTAACATAATATTAAGAACATTATCTTTTTCCCATTCGTTTCAGAATGCACTTGTTCAATAAAGCTATTATTAGTTTTTAATTTTAAGTCACTGCATTCCAACTTTTAAATTTCTTTTTCAAACTATTAAGCTTTTATTTAGTATCCTAATGTTTTTGCATTGTTTGTTCTAGGCAAACTTCATCAGAGAATTTATTGTGTTATTTCCAAAAAAATATTTTTAAAGCTCAAAGCCTTATCACACGCTGTACTTATTATAAAATTGTGCATAGAATTACAAAATGTTACATATGTTGTCATTGGTAAAAGTTTTAAAAGTGGAGAAGAATCTACATTAAAGACATATTTTATGCAAAAGCTTTTAAAAAAGAAAATGTGTGAGCTATGTTATGTAGATAAGATAAATGTAATCTAAATGATCATATTAAATGACAAATGGAGAATTAATTTATAAATGCAAGAAATGCAATTACATAACATGTCCTTGATCTGCCATGAAGCCACACTGTAAGATAAATCAGATCCTGAAACAGGAAAATTGTCAAGATGAGGTTGTTAAAAAATTATACATTTGTTTTATTTACATAAAATTAGAAACGTTTACACTACATTAAATTTATTTTTGTCATTGTATCTATAAAGTTATTTTTTAAAATTAATAATCATTTTTCATTATCGAAAATGTGTATTGTATTTTAAGTTGTCAACTAATAAGCGGTATTATGAATAATTGGATAGTTTTGTTTATCAATATTTTTCCCTGTTTGCTTTTTAGTTATTGTTAATTTCTTAAATAAATGTTGACACTACTTTTGTCACAGCAATAAAATGTGATAATTTTTAGATTCTATTTGAGTTGTTGCAATCAATTTCTATTTCACCATTATGCATGTGACATGCTTTTAGCTGTGTTGTTAAATGAAGCAACAATTTTTACAACAATACTAAGATTAAATAACTTAATTTCATGTGGCAAGAACAAACTTACAAATGAGTTAACTCCATTGCTCAGTCAGCAGAGTTTCTTCCAGGCATCTCTAATTTATATAGAAAATATATACTTTTAACAGTGTCCGCCCCCCGAAGAAAGTTTACCGCCCCCCCCCCCCCCCCGAAAATTTCAAGTGCCCCCCCCCCCCCCCCCCCAGAGAAAAAAGTCTGGAAGAAACACTGTCAGTCAGGATAAAACAGGCTGTTTCTAAATGCGGACCACACCGTGTGACCCCATTTAGGGGAGTGACACCAAGAAAAAAAGGGCAAAATGTATACAGAAAAATGATAATTCCACTTACATAATAATTAGAGTAAGTTAAATAGTCTTTTAAGAGGAAAGTTGACCAATCCAGACAAGGGCGCAGAGGGGGTGGGGAGGGGGGGGGGTGACACAATGACGTAAACCTGCTAATGATAGAGAAAACACGCCACATCCAGCTGAATTTATCACCGACTATAGATAAAAATTGCTAGTGTTATCTGAGAGTACACTTCTTGTGCAGTTGGGCTATAGAAGTTTATGGCAAAACCTTTCTTTTTGAGATAATGACTCACTACTACAGAACATCCATAAGTCATTCATTTTTATAATTTTTTTTTTACTTGTAATTGATAAAAAATAGTAAAACAAGTGTTTAAAATGTCAAATGATTCTTTTGTAACTGGAGTCCTAACAAGCAAAAGTTATCTGACACTGACCTTACCTAACTTGCAGGTACAGTCTTTGGAGCATCAATAATATTGAAACCTGGCTCAGAAATGCTAAACAGCCTTTGATTCTATCGGTCACACTATACTTCTAGAAAACTAATTCCATACACATTTAGCTCCCTTAAACTAACTCTATAAGCTATTATAATAGTAATAATTTGGATTGTGCACTTTTTGTGCAGTTGGGCTATAAAAGTTTATGGCAAAACCATTTTTTGAGAAAACAACTCACTACTGCAGAGCATCAATAAGTCAATAATTTTTATAAATTTTATTTTACTTGTAATTGATAAAAAAATTGTAAAACAAGTGTTTAAAATGTCAAATGTTTCTTTTGTAATGAGAGTCCTAACAAACATAAGTTGTCCAACACTGACCTTCACCCACACAGAAGGTACAGGCTTTGGAGCATCACTAGTGAGTAAAATACACCCCAGCATTCAAAACACATTGGCCTCATTGGAATTTATGTTAACTTACATAAAGTGTTGTTAAAAAAATAATAATAAAAATTGACACACACTTTAACCATTTTATTTCTTAACATCTTTATTACAATTTCAAATGATTCACTACTTTAAAATTTACATTACACAAAGCTTTTTTTTAATAAGGAATATATAATTAAAACACAATGAAAATTCACATGTTAAAACTAAGATACGAAAATGTAACAATTGCAGCTATAGTCTTTCTTTTCTTCAAATTTTTAATTGTTATGCTGTTTTAAAAAATTAAATGTTAATTTATGACATTGAAATGTGTTGTTAATCTTTAAATAAATTGTATAGCCTATATGAATAAGTGAAGAAAATTATTTTATACTCTTTTCAATCACATAGCATGCAGAGAGGAGTCTGAGATTTAGCATAAAGTTCATATTGAGATGGTGTGAAGAAAGATACAAATCTTTATATAACATGTTACAATTGCATTTAAATAAATTAAAAAAAACATCTAGCAAAAATAAGGAAGTAACCATAAGCCTTAGCAATGGTTGGAGCAACATGAAACTTGGGGTTAGTTCCATAAGACATGTAAATAGTGGGGAGGGAGAGGAAGTTTTAACATATGGTCTGTTTGAGTTATACATTGCATCCAGTAGAGTTTGATCCTATGATTTGTGATTCTATACCTCTAAATATAATGATTAAGGTCATTTAGCAAAAGATGAAAGTGTTTATAAAAAAAGATTGTCTGCTCAGAAGTTTTGATATCACTGTACCTGTTGGCCAGATGCCACTGTGACTGCTGGCCTAATGTCATTTTACTTGTCTAATGGAGGTCAATTTTATATAATTTGAAACAGGCAAATTAACTTGTGGCCTGAACAAAACCATACGGGTATAAAATTAAAACCCTGGAATGAAGCTTTTCATGTGTTGTTAAATGATCACTTCGAGAAAACTTTTTATGACAAACATCACATTCATGTGGTTTATCTCCTGAATGAATCTTTTTATGCCTTCTTAAATGAGAACTTTGAGAAAACCTTTTATGACAAACATCACATTCATGTGGCCTTTCTCCTAAATGAATTTTTTTATGCGTTCTTAAATTACATTTTAGAGAAAACCTTTTATGACAAACATCACATTCATGTGGCCTTTCTCCTGAATGAATTTTTTTATGCTTTCTTAAATTACATTTTAGAGAAAACCTTTTATGACAAACATCACATTCATGAGGCGTTTCTCCTGAATGAATTTTTTTATGTGTTCTTAAAGGAAAACTTTGAGAAAACTTTTTATGACAAACATCACATTCATGTGGTTTATCTCCTGAATGAACGTTTTTATATTCTCTTAAATGAGAACTTTGAGAAAACCTTTTATGACAAACATCACATTCATGTGGCCTTTCTCCTGAATGAATTTTTTTATGTGTTCTTAAAATACATTTTAGAGAAAACCTTTTATGACAAACATCACATTCATGTGGCCTTTCTCCTGAATGAATTTTTTTATGTGTTCTTAAAATACATTTTAGAGAAAACCTTTTATGACAAACATCACATTCATGTGGTTTATCTCCAGAATGAATATTTTTATGTCTTCTTAAATTAAAACTTTGAGAAAACCTTTTATGACAAACATCACATTCATGTGGTTTATCTCCAGAATGAATTTTTTTATGACATCTTAAATAAAAACTTTGAGAAAACCTTTTATGACAAACATCACATTCATGTGGTTTATCTCCTGAATGAATTTTTTTATGTTTACTTAAGTTAGAACTATTTGAAATCCTTTTATGACAAACATCACATTCGTGTGGTTGATCTCCTGAATGAAGCTTTTTATGTATTCTTAAATGAGAACTTCGAGAAAACCTTTCATGACAAACATCACATTCATGTGGTTTATCTCTAGAATGAATTTTTTTATGTTTACTTAAGCTAGAACTATTTGAAAACCTTTTATGACAAACATCACATTCATGTGGATTATCTCCTGAATGGACATTTTTATGTTTTTTTAAATAATAATTTGTAGAAAATCTTATATGACAAACATCACATTCATGTGGTTTATCTCCTAAATGAATCCTTTTATGTGTTCTTAAATGAATACTTTGAGAAAACCTTTCATGACAAACATCACATTCATGTGGCTTTACTACTGAATGGACCTTTTTATGTGTTCGTAAACCAAAACTGCGAGAAAAACGTTTATAACAAACATCACATTCATGTGGTTTATCTCCTGAATGAATTTTTTTATGTATTTTTAAATCAGAATTTCTAGAAAACCTTTTATGACAAACATCACACTCATATGGCTTATCTTCAGAATGAACATTTTTATGCATATTACTTTTAGAACTTTGAGAAAATGTTTCATGATAACAAACAATCTTATTTTCGTTGTCCCTAGACAATTGTAGATTTTCTTCAAGTCCGTTTTCTTGTTTATTCTCAAAAAGTAAAAATTCTGTTGTGAAATATTGTTTTAAATTTTCAGTAGATGATAATTCTGGTTTTAAATTTTCAGATGTTGAAAATACTGCTGATGCAGCAGGTTTCTTATTAATTTTTTCAATTGAAAATGTAACATCAGGTTTAACATCTTGAGAAGTTTTAAATGACATGTCAGGTTTTATATCCTGAACATTAAAAAATGATAATTCTGGTTTTATGTCATTAGAAGAAGAAAATTCTGAACTAACATCTTGAAAAGTGTTAAATGACATGTTAGGTTTTATATCCTGAACATTAAAAAATGATAATTCTGGTTTTATGTTATTAGAAGAAGAAAATTCTAAATTAACATCAGGTTTAACATCTTGAAAAGTGTTAAATGACATGTTAGGTTTTATATCCTGGAAATTAATCAATGTCAATAATTCTGTTTTGATGTCAGCAGAAGAAGAAAAGTCTGGTGTAACATCAGGTTTAACATCTTGAGTGGTTTTAAATGTCATGTCAGGTTTTATATTCTGAGAATTATAAAATGACAATACTTCTGTTTTGATGCCAGCAGAAGATGAAAATATGGCCGATAGATCTGGTGTCAAATCTTCAGAAGATGAAAATTCTGTTAATTCATTTGACTGTATATCTACAGTAGATGAAACTGCAGCTAACACATCTGTTTCCACCTCCATGCTGGGCAGCTTCTGAGATATGAACTGATGATTAAATAGAAAAGTTTTAAAAAACCCACGTTTTCTGATTGAACTAAAAAGTAGAAAATAAATACTATACATCACAATAATGCAAGCGATCACTCTACTATAAGCGATCAAAAACGTGGGGCGCCGAAGTAAAAGTTATATTACTATTGATTAGATAATACTATTGACTTTTATTAGGGAGCTTGTAGAGAGTCAACAGTATTAGAAACTGTAAGAAAATCACGGCGCCCCACGTTTTTGAAATCAGAAAACGTGGGTTTTTTAAAACTTTTTTAATGATTATTATTTTCTACTCTTTAGTCTTTGTCTGTTTGTTTGCATTAAAATCTTGCTATCGATTTTATCTTTTCACTTTTTTTTGGGTAAACGAAGACAACTCGTAAAAAGACAACTCGAAAAAAAATCGTTGTGTGAATACGTTACTGACTAGAACACATAGATTTGAACCCGTGTCGAGTGGGATAGCAATCGTGTGCCCAACCACTCGACCATATCGTCTCCCCCAAACTGGCCTACATCCTGTAAGTTTAAACTGGGTTCAAAGTAAATTATCTGCCCCTAAGCCTGTGGCAACGTGGGATCGTTCGCTTCACTGCGCGCGAGGTACGCGTCGCTGGTTTTTTTTCTAATGGCTCGCAGAGGAGAATTATATATATAGATTATATAGCGGTCTAAAATGCTCAATAAAATGTTTCCATTGATCAATTTAGTAATAATAACAATTGCATATTCTATGGTCATCCAAAAGAAAGCTTCCCTGAAAATTTCAGCGCGCTAGCTAACTGGGAAGTGCCAGAAATTTCGATCGCAAGATTTGATTGGAAAGACAAACAAACACAGAAACACAGACACAGAGAAAGCAAGTTAAAGAAAACGTGGGAAAAAATGTAAATGTTAAACTGGTGATTAAATCACCACAACAACTTATTACTAATAACATTGCAAAATTTGTAACACATGTAATTTGATAGGCTAACTTTTGTAAACACAGATGTAATTTTAAAATATTTAACCAGTAATGCAAAGCAATCAAGACTGCAGATTAATATCTTAAGCTACCATTTTCTTAAAAATTATTGTTAAAAGTAGAAATAATAAGATATTAATAACAAAAATCAAAACTTGATTTGCTTTTGTTAGTTTTTAAATGTAAGTAATAAGTGCTTAATCTTATCCAAATATGTAATAAAAGTGTTAAAATTAATTTTATTTACAGTTCTAAACTGTCATAAACAGCTTAATAAACACTTGATTTCTTTAGGCAGCTTGGCACTAATTTGCATTTTTTGTAGTTTTGTGACAATATTTGTACACAATAGGACTTGTAATTTCTTGCAACAATTGTAAGAACTTTCAATGCTATTTTATTTGTATGGCTGGGAACTAATATATGTGCATATGGATTTATTAATTTGTTTACAGGTAGTGCAAGGAAGGCTAGGGGATGATACTGTTACTCTACTAAACTGGCTTAGCTATTTTAAACTACGGAATGAACACAACACCAATAGTGTCCTCTTCCAGTTTTAGAATATAAAGAAATGAACTTTTTCATTCAAATTTGACTTAGATCTAGATTTTATAAATTTACTTATCAAGACCTACACTATGAAATGTATACAATTTTCTCGGTCAAACTAATAGAGAGATTGCACACACATGACCAAAACCACATGATGTTTACATCCACAGCCGTGTTGATGCCCTATGTATTTTATATTGCTAGTCCCTAAGTTTATTTTAAAAACTAGCCTCCCACAGAACAGTAACAATATTTGAAGGAACTAAAATTATTGAGGAACCTATTTTTTTTTACTTTTTCCAGCTGATAGACAATATGAATATAAACAACTGACCAAAATATAAACATCTATCCAATCAAAAGTGAAAGCCACAACTCCAGAGAGTCAGCCTCAAGAATACCCAAGATTCTAGAAAGTTCAACCTCACAACAATCGTTGTGGTCTTGGATGCACACTATTAAGTATGAAAACGTCTATTAGTCATTCATGTCAACTATATTGAAAAAAAAGGAAAAACTATAGGCCTACAGGCATATATTAAAACAATACAAAATAATTTAATTAAACAACAAAATCAACACACCAGACATGCGAAGAGACAATTCTTCAAGGGAAATCACTCTATTATTGTTTTTGAAACATGGCCACTGCTTGTATTTACTCATTGTCTCGAACGGTGTAGTTTAAAGTTTATTCTAGGATATTTTTGGCTGGTTTGGTCATAGATTGTGATTTGTTATTCAATTATCTGTTATATTATGTAAAATATGTAATAAATATGGCCAAATGAAAGAAATATTCATTAGTTACCTCCAGTGCACAGTACTAGCTAGTAGCTACTTTGGAAATTATGATGCTAAACTATTAATATTATATTATTATAATGAGATCTGATCCAACTTTCTCGGCCATCGGCATAATTTTACCCCACTAAGTCAGTACTACTACTACTACATTAACTACACTACTTATACTACACTGAGTCACACTCCATTGATAATCTGGATTTTAAATACGGTAATCTATCGTTTTAGCGTAATCAATTCGGTCGTCACTAGTAATGTAGGGATAAGGTAACTAATAAATATGGCTTAAATATGAATATATTTTTGCATATTCTACTAAAATACTAAAGATAATTGAATATTAAACCATATTTAAGGGTTAAATCAATAAAAATGTCATGAAATTAAGGTTTAACAACGATGTTCCAGATACTAAATTTGCTATTAAAAACAGCGGCCATCTTAAGAAAATATTATTTTGAGTCATTTCCCTTTAATTTCTATTTGTATGGAAATGTATTGATGTTTGCTATTAAATACGTTTGTCTTGTGTTTAAATACAAAGCATGCGTTTTTTATTTAAATTCTGCCCTTTAAACAATTTAAACTGTAATTGACTGACAATAAACATCAGTTCTAGAATTATTATTATAGATTATGAGATGCAATTTTTATACATTAAGAAACTCCCTATTTTTATATAGCTACCACTACATATCTAATGTTTATTTAAATATTAGTTTGAGTTAATTGTTATTGTTTGTGTTATTGTTTGTTTGCTATTTTCATTTCATATTTTCATGCTTTTCCTTTAATTAGTGATTTAATCATAAATGACGTCACGTTTTTTGACATCTCTTCACCTTAACCCCCTCCCCCCCCCCCCCCCCCCCATTTTCGCCGTCACGAAATAGTCGTAATGTCAAAAATTACATTTTTGCCCTGAGTGTTATTACTGTTAAAAAGTCAAGCCATAATTCGAACGATAAAGAATAGTTTCAGCATTTTTGTATTAGGCCAAATACATAACGTTTCACGTTTCTTAACCCTCCCCTTTCCCGCGTAAAACGTCGTCTCAAAACCAGTTACTCCACCCCTTAAGTGCGTGATGTCATTTATGGTAGATGTCAAGTCCTAACCTCCAATACACATTTTGAACAACCTTTGGTGTCAAAATGTTGATACCAAATGTCCAAAATGAGAAATATGGGGTTGTCCATAAACGATGTCACATATGCTATTCTAATGTGACGTCAATTTACGTAGGACTGCAATTTATGACCTATAATGAAGGGGTGATCGGGGGGGGGGGGGGGGGATGAGTGACGTCAATTATGGAAGACTTCTATAAAGCTCTGCTCAATGAAAATGAGGAACATAAAGCGTTCGTTTTCATGCATACCTTTGCTCACAACGAATGATCATAACTTTGATAACTATTGCAAGCCTGTTGTCCTAAGCGGTGTTAAACAACCTCAGCACACCATCCCCGCCAAATAGGGCCTGCCACTAAATGCCTACCGACGAAAATAGGCCGCACTACATTGACTCCGAATGAAATAACTTCTGACAATAAAGCTCAAACATACTAGCTCCTGGCAACGGTATTCGACAAGAATCCAAGACAATTATTGGCTTGCAGGTAAAATTGGACAAAACAGCAAGTTTCGCGACATGGGGCATAACAAAAGATCAGCCCTTAATACGACAGCAGCTAATGTAAAAAGCCAGAGCTCAGTATAAGCTTGAGTTTAATATAGAAATAGTGTTAGCAGTGGACAGTGCATTATGAATACGGCTAAACGCCAGAGTCCGACGATGTCTGAACATCTAGTTTGTCTTTTATAAAGTGCGGAGCACCCTTAAGAGCTGAGCTTGGGGAGGGGGTCCCTGTTGACACCACCACTAGCGCCGCTTATGTCCAAATATCAATCACAAGTTTTGCGTGGAGCTTAATGGGCAGACGAAGTTTATAGGTGGGACCGGGAGCCTAAATGCATTTACTGAAGCCGCTGTGTCACGGGCATTTTAGAGCCGAACGTCTCAGGGCAGCATGTTGCAGAAATTAAAAGCACGTGAATTTGTGTAGTAGAGGGAGCACAGCATGCCACTGTAATAAATTAAACACCAATATAATATACCGTACTAAAGTCATTTAGATCTATTCGTCAGACTAAACGTCGCTAAAGTCTCAACGCAATAGTGCCTGTTTTGACTTTTTTTTTATTACGCGGTATCTCTTTCTTTAACATAAGCCTAATGACAAATGACGTCACGCGCGCCGCGAACTTGGTGACGTTGTGCTAAGTGGGGGATGAAACAGCGGGGTTGAGAAAAATGACGCATTTCTTTTTTTTAACAGACGAATAAGTGATATATTCTAATTTTCCTACGAACTATAGGTTGATCTAGTTTTTTTTTCTATAGGAAGATATCACTATATAGTGGGTGTTTTTTGTTTTTGTAATAATGGATGGTGGGGAGGGGTAAACATCGACTATTGAACAAATAAAAAAACTGATGAAAGCAGAAGGCAAAGAAAAAAAACCCATGTGGTATTCAGATGTAACTAATTAAAATTTAAAACTATTTTTACAAACACAATAATCTTAATTCAGAAAAAGTGTAGGCCTAAGACTAATGTCTACAGACAAAATAAACAAATAGGCTTAAATGGATCACCCATAAACAGTGCCGGCGCCAGGTTATTTAGTTAATAAAAGCGTCCCCCATCTGCAATTTTTTTCACGCCCCCTTATTATCAGAGGCGTAGCGACCCTTCCCGGCGCCCGGGGACAAGCTTTCGATTTGCACCCCCCCTCAAACTTTCAATTCGTTTTTCCAACCCATTTTGGCGCCCGTCCCCCCTCTCCCCCCCCCCCCGCCTACGGACAGCGCCCTAGGCAACAGCCTAGTTCGCCTTATAGGTAGCGCCGGTCCTGTCCATAAATGACGTCATACTTTTCCCGATGAATTCCCTTTCCCCCAATCGTCACTAAAAGCAAGATGATGATTTAATATCATATCGCAGTTCTACTATACCCGAACGCTAAATCACAATTTCTAACGAAAACGAATATATTCTTCATCATTTTTTTAAAAAATATTTTACCCCCTCCCATATTTTGAGTCCAACGTCATTTATGAAGAATATGGACGACCTAATAATTGACAAGTTCATCAGCACAAAGGGGTTTAATAAATGATGGACCTCCCAAAAGTTTTTGAGATCTTGGATGTACATACATACATAGCCTTCATTTCAATTGAAATTAAAGATAAGAAGATGGCCCTCTGTCCTACTTATATTAAACAAGACAACTATGTGTATTAAACAACAAAGTCAACACAATATACATACGAATAGACATTTGTATCAAGGGAAACTACTCTAAATTTTATTTGGAAAGATGGCCGCTGTTTTTATCTACTAATATTTATCTCAAATACCTAGTTTAAAGTTAGTTTCATGATATTTTAAATTGTTTTGGTCACTGATTGTTATTTTTAATCAAGTATCTGTTATATGTTGTAAAATTTGACTTAAATATACTTATTTAAACAAATATATTTATCAGTTACCTCTCCCGCACATTACTACTGCAGCCGAATTGATTACGCTAAAACGATAGATTACCTTAAATACTTAAATGTTAATGTAAGCTCGAAAAACGTTTTTTTTTTTCTCTGGGGAAGTGTTTTATTATTACTCAATCAATCAGTCCGTCAAAACCCTTCACCTTTTCCGGAATCGGCGTTTAGATTATTATAAAATGGCGTCCTATGAGGTTTTTAATATGGTCGTCTGTACGGGCAAAGGTTTGTTTCGAACGTTGATTTATTATATAATTATATTTTTATATCATAGTGAAGATGTTATAATATTATGTACAAATAAAAAACTTAATTATACACACACCTGCTTTAGTTTATTTTGACTTCAAGCACAAGAGTGACTTTCCCTCGTCGGCCTCGTGAAAGACAAAGAAAGAAATCAGGTAAAGCTAGCATTATTCGCCCCGTAAATACATGGGCAGTTTCGATACAAATCTATGCGATTACGATACGATCCTTATTTATAAGTATCATGTACTTCATGAGAAAGAAATGAATCGATATTTTATGTCCGCCCAAAACACGGTGGCCACGAACGAGACTTCACAAAGCGAAAACCCTAATAGATTCTAGATCTAGATCTAGATCTAGAAATCTATAAAGTAATAAAGTTAAATAAAGTCTAGATTCTAGTGTCTAGATACGACGTAGATCTAGGAACCTTTTTTTTACATTTAGTATATTATAGGCCTGCTATTTAGTCATTTACTATTTATTTAATAATATTTAACAAACTTACTAAACAATACTATTACTACATGACACATGAAGTATTTTACAGTAAAATTTTTACTATTTTGTTAGATTATTATTTATTAGGCTACGTGTTATTAGTTTGTATTATTAATTATACTAGGGATTTTTGGTAAAAAAACACTAATCATCATATAAAAATAAAAATTACATATTCTTGTAGAGCTCAACTAGAGATCTATATGAAAACAAAACAAAAAAGATTTTCTGTCTAGCTCAAATAGTTTTTTTAGCGAAGTTTTTTGTGAGGGGTGGAATACCCTTGTTTTGCATTGGCCAATTGTGACAAGTCATGGTATGCCTGAATAAATTGAGCATAGTTATTTGACTTGCAGTTGTATTTTGTTCATATTTGCAGAGTTTAGCTAGAATGATATATAGAACTTGTTAATGCTGTTGAAATGAATAAAAATGATACAGAAGTATATTTTTGTGTTGGCTTCCTTCCATAACCCCAAAAAAACTGTGCTGCGCAAATATGAAAATGTTTCTAAAGCAATGTTTTACAGTGAATGAAAGAACTACAAAGTTAGCAATCTAAAGTAAATGACTTGAACACTGAAATGTGCATATAACTGCCCCATTATTTTGGGCAGGTGAAGTAGAGTCCATTTTTAAGACATTTTGTTATAAAACTGTGCTGCGCAAATATGAAAAAGTTTCTAAAGCAATGCTTTATATAAATACAGTGAATAAAAGAACTACATAGTTAGCAATCTAAAGTAAATGACTTGAACACTGTAATGTGCATATAATTGCCTTATTATTTTGGGCAGGTGAAGTAGAGTCTATCCAGAGGCGTATCCAGGTTTTCGTTGTAGGGGGAGCGAAAAGAGCAAAAAAAAGGCGCCGAATTTTTAACACGTTCTATATACGTGTATTATATATATATATATATATATATATATATATATATATATATATATATATAATTACTAGCTGTATGTCATTTATGTCATTACTTCGCTATGATGTAAATTAAATTGAAAGTAGCACTCTGAAGAAATAAGAAAAAACACACAATGTAGGCCGACAAAACAAAAATTGTATCAATCTAAACAAAAAAAGTATATATATATACACACACTACAACTAAAAACAATGAACGTAACACAATCTGTTTTGTAATTCTTGTAAAAAAATTCTTACATAATAATTCCTGGGAAATTATTTAAGACAAGTTTAATAGGGGAAATAATCACTCTCTTAATATAAATATGTATATATCTACACATTTAATTATAAATGTCAAAACAAATAATTACTTTAGAATATAATGAAATTGTTTAACACTACTCGTGTTTACAAAATGTTTTTGTCTATAATCAGAATTTAATATATCGTCATTATAAATGCTAAAGTATTACAGCATAATGTAAGTTTTTAAAATTAGAGGTGGTATAAAAGCACGCTTTTTGTTTTAATAGAGCAGCATTCGGAATAACAGCCTATATTTAATTAAATATCGGTATATCATATATTTTATTAACTACTGCTTCTTTGTGTTCTTTAAAGATCGTTTTTTAACATAGAGATAGGTATGGGTTAGATCACTGTATTGATCACACACCTTTTACTGGTAATTGCAATAACAATTTTCAAAGAGTTTTACGTTTAAAAAGCTAATTTTCTGGCGGCATGGTACTTTTGTACATCATTACGCGTTTTTTACATGTACTTAACAGATCAGTTCGGGGTGGGTTGGGGGTGGGGGTGGGGTGGGTTCAACTTCATTCACCACAGTCCGTTCACTTTAGGTCAAATATCCAACCCAGTGTATACCTAGGCGTGACCTTAATGTCGCTCTACACAATTGTGGTGGTGAGGTGTATAGGGGGGGGGGGGGGGAAGATAACCTACTTAGAGTGAACATAGCGTCAATTTTTAGATGACTGTTCTAAACATACATATATATTACACAAATATATATTACACAAATAGATTGGAATAAGTAGCAGTGGTATTATGACAATATTTTTTTTACAGAGGGGTCCATGGGGGAGGGGGGTTGTAACTGTTTCATATAATTTGTAATCGTAATCACTATCGCTCAAACTGTAAGAATACTACTACTTCATCGTGATGACGTTGTTGACCTTGTCAAAATTTCCCCACCACTACCCATTTTGCTCATAAGTAAATTTAAATAGAGGTGCCACATCAGTTGTATTTGTTTCTGTATTGTAATTTTTAAAGAATTAATCACACGATTCAAACTGTATATATAAAGTAATTATGTGTGAAGTTTTATGTATAACATTTTCTATTCCAATTATTCGTAAGCAAATACATTATACAGTTGCCTTAAACTTAACAATCCCCTTGCCAAGTGGTACTACCGTAGAGGTTTTTTAAACATTGCAATGCATCGTAAGGGTTATTTTTAGAATGGCAAACTGATGCAGCTGTTAATACGTGTTGTAAACGTAGACACTAATAGACTAGTACAGTAATGCTTAATTGCTGCATGAAAAGAAATCTTGTAATTTACATAGATGAGCCGACCAAAAATATTTTTTAACAAATATCATTGTTTAAAACTTTGAGTTTAAAAAGTTTCCAAAAAGGCGCCACTTTGCTGAAAATGGCCAGAGGGGGAGCGGCCGCTCCCCCTGCTCCCCCCCCCCCTGCGTACGCTACTGAGTCTATCTTTAAGACATTTTGTTAAAAGTGAACTGAAGTTATCTGATCAATGTTTTTATGTGTGTGGTGTGTATGAATTCTGATTTTCAGCATATAAATATAACTGTAAGTAAGGGTAAGTAGAACTTGAATACTTAAAATTACAGTTAGCACATAGCTAGTGTAGTGTATTCTAGCAACAGACAGGTAACCTATGTCTGACTCAGCAAAATTTTACTTCAAGCAAAACTAGAACCAGGGTTGAAAAAATGAAAGACAGGTATATTAAAATATGTTTAAAACAACAAGTAGGAGATTTGTTTGTACATTACATAAGAATACTGTTGTTAGTGTATCAAAACTAAAAGCCGGCAGATCGGGATGAAGAAATATAACATTGGAGTCAATGGGGGCCAGGACAAAGTGCCGAGCTTGGAAGTATGGAGGAAAGCTAGGCAGGAGCCTATAGGTGTGCAAATAAGAAGGAGGAAGTGGCGCTGGGTGGGTCACACACTGCGAAAGGCTCACACGAATGTTACACGCCAAGCACTTGAGTGGAACCCCCAGGGAAAGCGGAAGAGAGGGCGCCCAAAACAGACCTGGAGGCGGAGTCTTCTTGAAGAACTGAAGCCAATAGGGATGTCTTGGGAGATGTCAAAATTAATAGCCGAGGATAGGAGGAAATGGTGGAGGCCCTATGCTCCATAAGGAGCAAAGAGGACTAAGTCAAGTCAAGTCAATGGGGGCAACGTGACCTACTTACGGTGACTACTTTCAAATGAGTATTTACTAATGTCTAAGTCAAAATATCCAAAAATAAATATCATTTCTATAAAAATGGGATGTATCTGCTTTGGAAACTTTCATTATCTAAATGGAAACTTTTCAAAAATCGCGTTTTTAACGCATTTGAAGTTAACCTTTATACAGCGGTAAGACCAAAGCAGAAACAGCATGCAATCGGGTAGCTAAGCCATCAAAACAACTAGAAAACCATTCTACTTTTCATTTAACATTAGGAAATGACCTTTAAACTTAATTAATTACCATAAATTAAAAACTTATTAGTATGCAAAACCAAATCTCGTGCGCAGTGGCGTGCAGAGGGGGGGGGGGGCGGACGGGGCCCAGTCCCCGGGCATCCACCACTGGGGGGGCATCCAGCGGAGGTAAAAAAAAAATTTTTAATTAATTAATTAATTATTTCTTTTTTTTTTTTTTTTTTTTTTTAGTAATTTAAAAACTGTTGTGATATGTCGTGTCATGGTGTCATCGTAACTTTCCATATGTTTTGCGCTCTCACTCAAAAAAATTGTAACACTCAATCGTCTGTCAGCCGTTTTAACATTACACTGTCCGTATGGCAAAACTTATATAGAAACAGCGGGCATCAGTGAAGGGTAGTCCTACGGAAGTCAATGATATTCCATTAATAAATGTGTGTCATATTTATTTAGTATATTGTAGGGGCATCGTTTAGAGTACTTGTGACCAAGTTATTCCCATGCACTGTAAGGGCATCTTTAAAGTAATATGCGCGTATTCGTTATACTCATTTTCAAGGACATCCGTCGAGTAATTAAATCATATTTATTTTTATACACTATAGGGGCATCTTTAAAGTAATTATTCGTATATTCATTATAATATATTTTATGAGCATTTACTAATATGCCCACTTCACTTTATAATACATTTTAAAGGCATCCATACAGTAAGTATGCCCATCTTCATTTTATATATTGTAGGGGCATCTTGAAAGTAATTAAGCTTATATTCATGTATTACACTCGAAGGACATGCAACAGTAATTACACCAATCATCGTTGTTAACATTGGGGGCATCTCTAAAGCTATTTTTTTATGTACTTCTTCATTATGATCCATTTTAAGGGCATCCAAAGGGTAATTATGCCCATATTATTATTATAAATTTTTGGGGCATCTTTGGTGAAATATATGGCCATTTGCAGTGTAATAACTTTTTTTTGTTAAATTGTATGGGCAG